TTAGAAGAATGCTAAATTATAAGCCTTTACTATCAAGTTACATTTTGGATGTTTCGTATGAGCTTCTACATAGTTGAACAGAGGTGTTATCGTTAAGTTTTTTTGTATCAATTGATACATTCCCAATCTGAGCACAATCCCTCCCCTTGTGAACCTTGTTGCGCCTTCCCATCTCTTTTCACACCTTCCAAGGTATAGGCCACGGTTTGCAAGTGAGCGTGATGCAGTTGTATAACGTATGTTGCACAACTCGTCTACTCACCATCTCAGCGTCTCTTGTACTAATAGATCTTCTCCTAAATGTTGGTGGTACTAGAACAATGAACACTAATTTTATTGAACAGAGGTAATTAAAATTGCTCAAAGCACTATTCAGTGCGACATCAGCATGCGCCGCCACTCTAGACACATTTCTGCCATCTCTCAAGTAACAAATCAGTACTGCTTTGTGCAGAAAATTGTCCATACTTGCTACATCACAACCGCTCAAGCATTTATCGCAATTTGTTGCTTTACATGTACGATTTGGGACGCGATGCACAGACCGCCTTCGAGAACATCAACTGTAAAAATCTTGAGGATTTGTATCCAGACAAACAGCGTTTCCGTTCTTTCCGCTGCAACCGGATCCTATCACGTCGACGTCGCCGCAGATTTCATCCTGCTTCAAGACAACGCAAGGCTGCATTCCGCCAAATTGACAAAGAGGAAATTGACCGAAGTGGACTGGTAGCTGATGAATTATCCGCAGTACAGTCCCAACTAGTCGCCGTGTGATTATCACCTCTTTCGTTCACTGAAGCATTTTCTGTATAAGAAGAAGTTACGAAACATCAATCAGTTGTGTCGTGGACTGATAACTTTCCTGAAATACAAAGATGACGATTTCTATGAGCGCAGTATTGATTTTTTTTGCCGGTGAAAATGTGTTTAGGCTGATGACGCATATTTTCAATAGTGTTGTTGATCAATCTGATTTACTTTTGGTTAGAAAAATAGATGATTACTGCTCTAGCGCCGAAACTTATGACATTACCTAATACTTGTAAATGTCGACACAATATATTTGCATATAGGCCAGATTAAAGCATAATAGGTAGTAAGAAATATATTATCTATACATATAGAACGATATAGTAAAGCCTGTGTCACATTTCTGTAACGTCCCAACCTCCCAATAGTCTAGTACTGAGAAAATATCTATTATTGCCCAAAAATAGAAAGCTCGCAGTAGACGAAAAATTGCTCGCGATCCATTAGACCAGCCCCAAAAAAAGGCGCTGTTGTGAACCAAATATGGCACCTACTGTGTAAGTATATCTATAATGTCAAGCATGGAATGGGTCATTCGCGACAATAGGACGCCTATAGAGGTAATCGGACATGGTGTTCGCCATAACCTTAGTGAAGGTCCTCTTCTTCCTAAAGGTTGATTCCGGTGTACATAAGTTTTTTGCATAATTCTGGTGAGCATTCAGCAGCCCATCCAGCACAGATGGTGATGGATGACGTGATTTATGGGAAAGTTCTTCATCAATAAGTTCTTGCTTAGTTCTTTATTTTCAGCAAACGACCATTGTTGTTGAAAGGAAGATACAGCATGGAGAGTGTGCTTAGTGAGGCGGTAAAGATAGGCCTTTGTTTGGTATCGCATGCAGTGTATAACATTATTGCAGCAAACAAACTATTCGCTATTTCCTGATTTTTGATTGCTAAGACAACTTTCATGGCGCTGCTGGAACAAGAGGAACTACTACTCTGTTATCGGGACGCATCTTTCAACCTTTGGAGGCAGGGCTTTTTCTGTTCTCATTCCTCAGACATGTAGTAATCAAACGATACGTCGTAAAAAGATGGTTTTAAAACTACAGATTTTTCTTCGATAAGGAGGGTTGGTGGAGTGAAGATGAAAGAGTCTCTCTCTCGGCGCGCATTACCGCCTCTGTGAAATCGCGTTTAGCGCAGCGATCCCAAAGCCGCTCGGAAAATACGTCATTGGTGTTAATTAATTGGGAGTTTTTCCCCGTTCCGTGAGAATTCTTGGGTTTTTAATTTTGTAATTATAAAAGCAACTTTGTACTATTGTTTTAAGGGCTTAAACTTTTATTTTCGTTCTATGATGCTAAATAAACCCGACATGAAGTCTAAGTCTAAAATTGAGCTCTGAAGTGCGTAACATAGTCTTCTTTACGCTTTTCCAGCGCTCTACGAAGACCTTTCGGAAATCGCAGTTACTTCAGAATCTACAAAATTCGTGCTACGAACAACTACTGAAAATGTGTTGAAAGACCACTCATAAACCCTAATTGGACAAAAAATGCTCGTCGAGTGTGAAACGTGGTCCTATTTTTGCTGCTACGCAACTCTAAGAAGACTTTTGAAAAGCTATAATAATGAAATCGTCAAGATTCGAGCTAAGGAATGACTATTAAAACCCTCCAAAAAAGTGAAAAACGCCTCTTCCCCAAAGGGGTGGAAAATCGTTCGAAGTAAATGAATTGTTCCATGCTTAATTTGAATAGGTTGAGCAAAATGTCCGTGCCGTTCTGGTTTTTTTTTTTACAAGATTTCTACATTAAAATTGCGCGAATTTAGTATCGCTCAGTTGTGCATTTCCTTGGAAGCATTTTGAACGATTTCGCTTCCTAGCCATGCAGGAATGGCGCATAGGGGGAAATGCCTAGTGAAGCGGTGCGCAAGATTAACAAAGCTTTCGGTGGACGGCTCGAGCTCGACCGATCTTCCAAACTGCTCTGGCCTTGAGCCCCGCGAATCACTTCTTAGCCGTCCTTTATACCACCGTATCATCGCTCCAAGCTCCGTTCCGTTGATCTTGCGCGCCGCTTCACTAACATTTCCTCCTGAGCGCCATTCGTGCATGAATTGCAGAAATTGTTCCCAATACAGCTCCATGTTGAAGCATGCACAATTTAACGACACCAAAGTCATGCAGTTTTATTGCAGAAATCGTATTCAAATTCAAAGCGGCACTAACTTTTAGCACAATTTATTATAAAACGACCATCGCCAATTTGCAGTGGGTCTGTTTCTTCCAATGCTACCGTAATTTCCAATAAACAACTAACGTGCGAAATCTAGAGGATAGACGAAACAGAGCGATACGGCGCCGGCAGCTCCTCCAGAGGCGAGATTTCCGGCAAAGAACTTCCAGAACTCTTTCTTTTTGTCAACACTACAAAAAAAAAGCTCAAATGCGTTGAGTTTTGATCTTGAAATTATTATATATCCGACAATGTCGAGTGATATGAACAACTCTAAAGCTCGGGCACGACCTGAACCCCCCTCCTAGCGTTTCCGGGGGATTGTATTCGGGAGTGATAGCGAAACACGAGCGCCGGTACTGCACTGGTAGGCCCGTCTCTCTGGAAAGGGTGATACGCGGGTTCAACTCCACCGAAAGGTTCAGTTCCATATCACTCAACATCGTTGAATGTATATTATCATGTCAATCCATCGCTAAAAAAGAGAATAGACAAAGAAATGAGGATTAGTCTGAATTGATGGTGAAATAACAAGACAAACCCTTTCAGGAACATTTTGTTGAATGCGTCTTTAAAGGCGAAGTTGAGTGCTTGGGTCGGGAAATATCTGAGCACATTAGCGAGGTTTCCTCTCCAGAGCGAGAGAAATCCCTGCTCTCTCGGGACTCGTACGAGTACGTCGATTATTCCCTTGTACCGCTTTTCGGCCGATATCGTGGCTGACGCATCTTGCACCTAAATATCAAAGAATACAACCGACGTGACGTCATCATACTATGAGAAGAGAAGCCCGTCAAGCGATAAAATACGTCGTGGTGTGACTGAGAATCGCAGAAAGAGTGATAGCAGAGCAGGAGCCACACTAGCGTAGTGGTTGGCACGCGTCCACGGAAAGGGCTAAATGCGGGTTCAACTCTCGTAATCACTTCAAAAGTTCGACTTTCTATAAACCTCGGCGCGGCAGCCTCGAGGTAAATCGTAGCCTAGGGTTTGGTCACGGAGCCCCTCATAGGATCGATCAATAATTGGCAGTTATCTGGCACAAGGCCAAAAAATCGCAGATATAAGCACAGCACATAGCTGCCGATTTGAAAACTGTACTCTCTTCCTTCTGTTGTCCGATCGCTATCAGATCAAAGCCGCCTGGGCGACAAAAATTTCAAAAACAAAAAGAACGGGTACTACTATTTCTAGGAAACTTTTTTGTGAACCCTCGTGAAAACGACTTTCTTTAAGGACAATCCAGTAATCAATATCAATCGATAATCGATAGCAATCGAAGAGAGATAAAGAAAACGAGGGAGGTTTGAAGTTCGTAGCCGACGACTATGGAGCCCAAAACCCCGATGGTTTGAGTTGTGGGAAAACCCTGGGTCAGAGTGCCGAACAGGGGCTACGTCGTTATAAATACTACTCAAAGTGACACTCAACTAGGGAAATAAGCTTGAATCCCCCTACGAAAATCGATAGATAGCAAGAGCGGCTGACCTGTAGCAGGAGCTTGACCCTCTCGATCGGGGCGACGGCGGTCTTGGAGATGGCGGCCGCTGTTCCGCCGGTGATCAGATCCATGGTGAACTTCTTCGCGTCGAACGCCTTCTTCTCCTCTTTCTTCTTCTTCTGCTTCTTCTCACCGCCACCTTCCGACATAGTGCAGCTTGAAATGAATGAACGAATACGAATGAACGTCACCAGCGAACGGAACGACCGACTGCTAACTCAGCTTCGAATCAGCCGCGCCGCGCCGCTTTGCCGCGTCGACGCGAACACACTCGCGTTCAGACAGCACGGCGCTTGTGCTGCCGCCCTCATCGGCCTCCCGGCGTAGATCAAATTCATGTGATAAATAATCGAAACATAGAGTCTCGATCTAGCAGAAACCAGCAAATCAATATATTGTTTGTGCCTATCTAACTCTTATTTAGCACAATCCATCACAATTTATCGTAACTCATAATTTCTAATGTATTTACTGCATCTGAGTGGTGGTGAAACGGTGCCTCGGTGGTGTAGTGGTAGCACGCGCCCCCATATGGGGTGAGACGCGGGTTCGACTCCCGCCCGAGATTGAGTTTTTGCTCACTACTAAATTCTCTTAGGTGTATTTGAAACGACTTATTGTACGTGTTTAGAAACTTTCTGTACTTAATTCGTTTCGTTGCATTCGGCCACAACAAAGGTCTTCGAACAATTTGCCTGATGCTTGGCGGGAACCTGCCGTCTTTATGAACGACGGAGAATGCTGGTCGAAATAATTCTTACAATCGCTGAACCACCTGAGCTTCGGCGTTCCTAGGCGAGCAATTGATTGATTGACGGATTACGTTGGAACAGGGGATCGAACCAGCGCCTTGCTTGCCACCTTGCTTTCTGATATACTGCACCACTAGCCACTGAGCTACTTCGCCTCCGAATTTAATACATTGACTTCGCAGATCGTACACTGGACGTCTTAGCCTAAAACAGCCACGTGCACTGATATCTCAGCAGAGCATAAATCAAGAAATTGACTTTTCAACACATTTCTGACCGTACGGACACTAAAAGAGCGTATGTGGCGCTGTGGTTAGAGGTGTTTTGCGTCGCATACAAGGTCGATGGTTCGATGTCGCGCTCATGGCTCACCAAGCCATCCATCTCTCCGGGGTCGGTGAATTGGAATCGGACTGGTCTCAGACTTGTCTGGGAGGGTAAGCAACACTGAATCGACAGAGCGGCGGGTCACCTCGAATCATTGTAAAGGCCAGATGTGCATTCAATCACCTCAAACGAAGTTAAAAATTGGAAACGAGTGCATGACGAACCCTCGGGAATTGATCAACGCCAAAAGCTCTATCCTTTTTATTGACAGTACAGTGCCCATAATTACGGTAATTATGGCACTTCATGACCACTTTTTTGAGTTCTCAAGCCCTTTTTGAGACTTTTTCCCTTTTACAAGCCAAAGATAAGAACGGCGATTTTAACCAATAAGTTCGCCGAGCCAGAACTGATTACTGATTATTGAAGCAGTACTGTTTTTACAACGAAAGGCAGCCATTTTGTGATGGGTTGGCGTGAAATTTTAGATATCACATACCAATATATAGATCTCTTAGCGTGATTTTCTCACAATAATTGCTTGAAATTTTACAAGTTAACGTTTCATAAGTTAGGAGTGCTGCTAGCAAGCAAAAATTGCGGTGCTATTGTGGATGTATTCAATATTGCTGAGTGATATGCAAAACTGTGAACGTGAGATGGGATTGAAACCCGCATTTCATCCTTTCCGGAGGCGCGTGCTAACCACTGGACTATCGACTCTCGTCCTGCCATCAATCTTTTGTAATGTTTGATGTTTGATTGAAAAATAAGTCAAATGAGCACTCTCAGCGACATTAACCTATGGTACTAATTTTCAGCTAGATTAGGATCACACCGGCCCATTCTCTGTACTTGCTTTGTGGGATGCTGATATCCCAATTTAGCTGTGTACGAATCACGGTGGACATATCTCTCTGCGGTTAAGAAATTCGCAGTTAGACCAATCAAGTGAGCTGAACACGCATGACAATAAGATCTATTTCAACAAGAATGCTGAGATATGTGCAAAATTCAGAATTAAGTTTTCCAATAACCATCGAAACCCCTTTCTCTCAGCCGTCTTCTAACCCGTTCGGTGGAAACCGCCTACTGCCAGTCACCAATCAAAACGAATAATCTGGGAAACACGAATCACTACGAATCTTAGTTAAAGCGAAAGCTGGTAGTGTGATTGAACAATAGGAAGTACTTACGACACATGTTAATTTTGTATTAAATTTGGCTGCAATATGCAATGAAGGTTTCTTGAGAGCACTGGCAGAAGATATTCACTGTCTCTCATTTTTGAACGTATAAAATCATGGAAGAGGAAATGTAAATTTCCATGGCTGTTATGCATTCAGTGCAGTGGTTGACGGTACATTGTGGTCCTCGATTCAATCCCATATCCCGCGCAAGCTAGGTCTTTTACTTTTCCGAGGTCGGCAAGTTGGTACTAGACTTGAGTGGGAATTAGCATAACCGACTTAATAGATCGGCAGTCGGCTGTAATTTATCAATACTATTTTTGATCATACAGGACCTGTCATAATGACCGTGAGCATAGGAGCACTTCGTGTATTCGAACCGTTTCCTGGCATTCAACCGTCACAAAGTCCGTCTACGTGTTGCTTCGACTGCTGCTTGAGGATATCGTGTTCTCTATAAATTTAGTAGATTGCTGGTCGGAGCAATTCCCTTTGCATCAATAAGGTAGTTGAGCCAAGCAGTTCTTAGACATTCGGTCAATTTATCGCAAGAGATAGTTGGGACACGAGAAGGAGCGATTTCTTTTGCACTTCTAAAGTAGCTGAGTCAAGGAGTTTCTAGGCGTTCAGTCGATTTACAGCAAGAGATTGTTAGGACATGGGATCGAACCAGTGCTTGTTTCAAAATTACTCAAATGATTCTAAGGAGATTACCATTGGCAAGTATGTCTGGTGTATAATTATGAGGTATGAGCTAATTCTAAATTTTCTTATGGCCTATGCTTTGAGCCAATCTCCTATTCAGAGTTCAAATGATTAAGTTCGAGTGCCTATGTTTGTTTATTCATGCTATTTGCGTCTTCATAATAGTCGTTGAATCGAATCGCGTGTTCTGTAGAACAGCTTACAAACCTCATCCGGCAGCTCCCCAGAAGACAGGACTGTTCTTACTCGCTATTCAGCATTAGTTTCCGTGACAACAATACGTTTTGAACAGATCGAATTCGGATTAGCTGGTATATAGTGGTACTGTTTTGCTATATCCTAGCTAATTATTGACTACCATAAACAGCTCACTATATGTCAAGGACACAGCGGTCGTCTGTTGGTCCAATATAGAAGGTTGTTTTATCGTTTCATATTTGTTATAAAAACTATAGAAGTAAGCGTAGAGATTTCCAGAGTAGACGAGTTTGTGTTTTATGCAGAATGTGAATTATCGGCAAGTTTTTCAGTTGCAAAAATTGTGAAAAAAATTTTTAGTAAACAACGTCAATCGCAAGCACCATTTGGAAGCAAGTTTCTTGATCAAGTATTTCCTATTCGGTACATTTTTAAATCCTTTCGAGACCATGCACCCACGGCCTCTGCATCTATAACTGGTAACTCTAGACGGTCTGCCCCACTTCCTCATCATCTGTAACCTCAGCATGCTGCGTCTAATAATGGCAGGTTGTTGCGTCTAACAATGGCAAGCTGGGAGCCGAAGATGCAGAGATGGTGGAGCAAGACCGTTCATAGTTGCCATTTAGAAATGCAAAGGCCGTGGTTCCACGGTCCCGAAAAGATTAAGACTTGAGTCACAATTATTATAAGCTGGTTAGAGGTGTGGACTCAAGCAGTAGATGCATATTACATGCATGAGTTAAAACCTTGATGTCTCGACAGAAGAATTCTTGAAGCTCCTCCGACGGGGCATCCATGTTCTTTGAAAAACAGGTAAAGGACAAGCGCTTCGAAACCCACTTGAAAGTTTTTTCTACAAGTCATGCTCCGAATAGTGGTCAGTAGGTTATAGAATACAACCCTTTGTTAACTGTCGAACATTTTTTATCTTTAGAATGCATTGATTTTTTAGAAGAGCCGGTAAGTGGCTACCACCATACTAGACTAAATATACACACAATGCCATGTTAAAATTTATTTTCCGCTTTTTTACTTAATGAAAAAGACTCACTTCTCGATCACATTCTGGAGTGGGATCAAAAGTGGACCCTAACGATAAAAAGTGACGTTAACCAGGGTTTTTGGGCTCAAAAAAAGCTCCTAAACACATTCCAAAACCGAATCAGCACTAAGAGAAAGTGGCGGTGGTTGTTTCGTGGCATGCAGCCGAAACCATCGATCACACTTCCTGGATCCTCTTAAAGCAAATGTAGCAACAAAGTGCTAATGTCTCGATATTCTTAGATTCAATCTGTATTTGAATTGTATGCATTCGTACATGGCTAGCAAAAGTGGTGTACCTTTGGCTCACCGACACTCAGCCATGATTTCCATAACTGAAGAAGCTGTATGAATTGTACTGCAAAAATCCGCTTCATTCAGTCCACTCAGCGACCCTTTCTCAGTTGCTTCCCACTTTTCTCAAGTAGTTAAATAATTGTTATCTCGAATTTGTTCTGTTCATAAGTTCATGATTATATGTGACCATTACCATGCTACTCGAAACGTAGAAAACTGGACCATACTGCACAAACGTTTTGGAAAACGTGTAGATTCTTATTGCTCCTTTTCCGATAGGTTACATTCCACCGAATCATATATAAAGTTCTGTATCAAAATTGGCCATGATTTTGCATCATCGTATACGCAGTCTAACAATACTTCAGAAAATCCAGGTCAGTATATTGCCAAAGTTATACGTTCTTTTCATCAACAAAAACTAATCTTAGACGCTTCAATTACCTCTCTACGCCAAAGTTTTCCGGCACGTTTTTCATCCTTTTTGTCGTGATTGACTTACTGTGCCTTACCACTAATCTTTCGCGCAGCTGTGCTAAAGGGTTAAGATGTTCGGTTTGCTGTTCCAGTGGAGAAACATAATCAAATTACCTTAAAAAGCGAGTGTTTTATTGAGAACACGCTCAAATTCCAATATATCTCATGATTGTTATTTGAGCCAACATATCATTTGGTAGAGAGTAGGGCTCCCGATTGGCTAAAAAAAATAATAAAAGTCGACGGGTTCTGCCCGATTGACGAGACTGTAAGGTCGAAACACGTGTGTCGAGCTGTACAAGAGCCCATTACCAGACGACATGACTTGTTGGCTCAAATAATAATTATGAGATAATCAATTTAGTTAAACTAATATCACAACGACTGAATTGATTCTACTGTATGGGAAGGCTGTAGGACTGGTTGCTTCGATATCGCGATATTATTTTCTCACCACGCCAAACGAAGTATTGAATTACCAACGGACTTAGCCGTTCTATAACTTACTTTGGTGAGTTCCACTAAACTTTTTTTCACATTTCGTGCAAGATTATGACCAATACTTACGATTCAAAGAG